GTATACCATTCTCATTTTTTCAAATGTATGATGAATTGACAATAAAGAAATACATTGAGAATTCGTATTCTCCATGTGATGAAAATATCAATTCTTTCTCGGTTTTTTCAACAGAAAACAACTACTTTCCTGGCTATATGCCACGACGAATATTGAATTACATCTATTGAACACACACGATACGAATTTGAGAACAAAATCTTCTGAAGTAGAGAATTTGCATTCTTCTTCACATAAAGAAATGCATATAATATAATTCTGAATATTCAACAGAATACAGCTACTTTCCTGGCTGTTTGCCACGTCGAACATTGAATTGTATCTGTTGAATATCCAAAAGAAGAGAGCATGAAAAATCGAAATCCTCTGAAATTGAGAATAATTAACCTCGTAATTAACATCATCTCTCAAATTCATATAACAGTTCACAAGTACGGTCCTGGATTTTTTTCAATTCTGTTTACGTTATTCTATTGGTGTTGGAGTGCATAATGTTCTATAAAAAAATGAAATGAATCAAAGAAGCTATTGGAAAGTTATGGCGAAAATATAATGTTTTGCCCAATCCTATGGATCATTCTGTATATTATATTGTAGAAGAGGAGAAAACATTTTGGATGGTCATGCTGTATTTCTCTCAGGGACATATGTTCGTGGTAGGAGTATGTTCAGTTCCTCATGACCCACCCTGTATGCAAAATAAATTATAGGTCGATTTCTTTATTGGTCGTTCAATTTCATGTATTTCGAAGTAGGGGTTGCCATTCGAGATTTCAAAGTAGGGGTGTCTGGGCGTGAAGGGGATGAACATAGAATTCAATTGATACTGGCATCTTCCCTAACAACACCAGTACATCCTAGGGACATCCCATGGACATCCCTGATTTAATACCAGGACATCCCAGGGATGTCCTTTGTCGGGACAACGTACATACTAGGGATGTCCCAGGGACATCCGCTGGCCGCTAAAAAAGGCATCCAAGGGATGTCCTTCTGGTACGTCCCTGGGATGTACCAAGTATGATGAAAGGATATCCCTAGGACGTCCCGAGGATATCCCAGGGACATTCTTTCGACAAAACCCGGGACCTTTGGCTTATCATGCACGCACCTTGCTCCATTGGCTATCATGCCTCCTGAAGATCTATGTACTAAACAGATTTATAAACAGGACTTAACTACAGAAACCTGAATAAATACAACTTAATTAGGAATTGGGTATAATTATTATCATTCTTGGGTGTTTAAAAATGAGGGGCATTATGCATGTACGATTTCTGTCTACGAAAAATGGTAATTTCTCAAGAAGTTCTGAGACTTTATTCTTTATTTTCATTACAATCATTTTCCGGAAGAGGAACAAACATTTTCAAAAAAATTCAACTCAATAGTTTGATGAAATTCAATGACTCTGATGTGAATGGATATCAGATACTCCAGGGACACGAAAAGGATAACCTAGGGATGTACCGGGCGGGATGTCCACTGGACAACCACTGCAGGACATCCCCTGGATGTCCCAATCATGTCCTTGTACCGCGGGACAAAAAAGGGACGTACCTACCCAGGACATCCCTGTGTTGTTATGGTTACTTCCCCCTCGATATCTAAATCGACCTGTTCTTTCCGAAAACTGTAATCTTCGCAAACCAAAAGATATGCAGGGTGGTAAGATTTGAAATGAAAGATCTGTATTTTATAAGATTCTGAATGGAGGCATCGTAGATTGACACAATTTCAACACTCAAACACATTTTTATTCACTCAGGACGGCTCGTACAAAGATGACCGTAATTAAAAATACAACATCGACAAGTGATTCGTTCTGATGCTACGATGCTGATGACTAAACCTGCTTCAATCTTCGATCACACGATGATTACGAATACCGATGAGTCGTCGAGGCTGCTTGTGATGAGGAATTCCTTTATAGTTCTTCTCATTTACGGGGTGATTTGAACATCGTCGTTAACAATATCATTATGACGTCAAACTTTTTTGGGACACCCTGTATAATCGAAATTATTTTCCTGGTATGCGACCCATGAGACAACTGAAGTCAGCAGAGTATGGAAATCCTGACTCAACTGATAACTGAGCTATATGAAGAGGGCAGGTGAGATGCAGGACCCTGTGTAGTTTGAGGAAATGTTTCTCTATAATGAAGATTGTTATATAATGATCACGCAGGAAAGTAATTATTAGGATTCATTTCATATTGGCTTTCGCCACCGAAGATCTACTGGAGATCTACTTGCCTACGTCACCCATTTATGGCAATCTTCAATAAAAAAACACGGGGAATCTCTAGCTGTCGCGTTGGACATATCAAAAGCATTCGACCGTGTTTGGCACGAAGGACTCCTCCACAAACTACCATCATACAGCTCACCACCTCATACGAAAGCGTAGAAGGCTCACGTTACGTTTTTTTTAAAATAGACAGTTGCAACTGTCTGAATAGACAGTTGTAACTGTCTCAATATACAGTTGTAACTGTCTAAATAGACAGTTACAACTGTCTATGAAAATAGACAGTTGAAACTGTCCAAATAGACAGTTGTAACTGTCTAAATAGACAGTTGTAAGTGTCTAAATAGACAGTTGTGAGTGTCTAAATAGACAGTTGTAAGTGTCTAAATAGACAGTTGTAAGTGTCTAAATAGACAGTTGTAACTGTCTAAATAGACAGTTGTAACTGTCTAAATAGACAGTTGTAACTGTCTAAATAGACACTTGCAACTGTCTAAATATATATCTATAGACTAGTGAATACTGACTCCCCTGAGCTCTGTCCGACCTGCAATAACAGTACAACATAGACAAAAACACGTGCTGATAACTATTATAATTAACTATTACGAGCTGTGTGTATTGCGTGTATAACGATGGTGGTAGTTTTTCTATAGTAAAAGTAAAATGGATGATGGATTAATCAGATTTTATTTCTGTTTGGGTTTCCAACAAACTGAAATTTTGGCCAGTTTGGCTCTCAATCATGATATCAACATTAGTTTAAGCACTCTCAAATGAAAATTACACAAATTGGGATTGTTCAGAAGGAAGAATTTTACGGACATCCTAGAAATTCAACAATTCATTATAAAAAATTCAAAAACTCATGGACAGTTACATGGATACCGATAGATGCACCTTAAATGCCTTCAGAATAATTTAGTAGTTACACAAGACATGGTTCGTCTTCTGCTCCAAATTATTGATCCCGTTGGTGTAGACAAACAATTCTACAATATGACGATTCTACGTTTGCAACGTACATCGATGCTTCAATCACCCGTAATTCCAATAAAATGGTTATCCAAATTCCAAATTCTTCCAAATGCTTTTTTTAAATAGACAGTTGCAAGTGCCTATTTAGACAGTTACAACTGTCTATTTAGACAGTTACAACTGTCTATTTAGACAGTTACAACTGTCTATTAAGACAGTTAAAACTGTATATTTAGACAGTTTACAACTGTTTGTTTAGACAGTTTACAACTGTCTATTTAGACAGTTACAACTGTCTATTTAGACAGTTACAACTGTCTATTTAGACAGTTACAACTGTCTATTTAAAAAAAAACGTAACGTGAGCCTTCTACGCTTTCGTAACCTCAGCTATGCCATCTCTTATCGAGATTTCTTTCAGGCAGATCGCTTCACGTGGTGGTGGACGGTGTATCGTCTGATACCATTGGCATCAATTCCGGCGTTCCACAAGGAACAATTTTGGCACCAACATTATTCCTGCTTCATATCAATGATCTGTTGGGAGTAACAACTTGCCCCATCCACAGCTTTGCAGATGATAGTACCCTCCATACTGCGTTCTCTTCCAGAATTCCCATTTCTTCCCAGGAAACTAAGAACTCACGGCGCAGGCAGGTCAATGCTGGGGAACAGCCTGGGGAACAAACAACTTAGTTGAATTAAACGCCACCAAAACTCAAGCCTGCATTTTCTCTAGAAAGGCGAAACTCAGTATGCCCGATATTGTAATGTCTGGCTCCACCATCCCCACCATCAAGCCCACCATATCTATGCTCGGTATTTCCATCAGCAACACTCTTTCATGGGATAATCATGTCAGATCCATCGCAAAAGCTGCTTCACAAAAACTCGGATTCTTGTTCCGTGCAAAAAGCTACTTTACACCTCGACAGCTTCCCATGATCTAAAAAGCGCAGATACGGCCTGTTCTAGAATACTGTTTCCACATATGGGGTGCAGCATCAAAACATACGCTGATGCTCTTAGATTCCATCCAGAGAAGAGCCATTCGCCTGGTGGGTGACGCCACACTCACTCACTCTTTGACATCATTGGAACACCGTAGAAAGGTCGGCGACCTTTCAATTTTCTATCGATACTTCCACGGGAAATGTTTTTCGGAAATCTCTGCTATCATCCCTTCACTAGCAATACCAATCAGACGAACTAGACAAGCCCAGTCAGCACATCCTTTCGTTGTCAACCTCGAAAGATGTCGAACAGCACTTTATCAAGACTCCTTCATCCATAGAACGGCTAGGCTCTGGAATTCATTGCCTGTGGAAGTATTCCCAACAACATATTATCTCCAAAAGTTCAAAAAAAATTCCAATACCTACCTCCTGTCCCTATCCTCCCTAGGAACGCACGACGTTCTTTGAACATTATAGGGATTCCCTTTCGTGCGCTCCAAGCGATAAAAAAAATGTATTCTATTATTCTAAAGATATAATTCAATATTCTGTGATGGTATCAGGAACGAAAGTAGTATTTTTATTGTTAGATATTTTCACAATGATTTTTCCATCTTTCCTCCTCCAATATTTGAAATCTGTCCAGATTTTCGAATTGGGTCTGAAAACTGGACCACTCCGTACAGTCATTTGAAAAATGTGAACAAACGGGTTCAAAATAATGTTGCAATATTATGTGTGACGCTCGACATACTAATATCATTATCAATTTTCAATAAAAGTTGTTTTTTACATCATTCAGATAATAAAATGATATTATATAAAGCGCAATGATTCGGATAATTCAGTTAAGTTGATTTCCATTTCATATCTCAGCTGGTGGTTATATATAGTGTGTGTTCAATCAATCATTTTATTATCGTGTTTTCATCATCCTCAAAATGACCACTAATGGAGTGAAGGTTAACGGGCATGGAAACACCCAGAATATAGAATATTTCGGAGATAATGGTCAACATAAGACTGAAGATGACAATAGGTGAGTGATATTTTTTTATACTCTGGGGCGCACGAAATAAAATCCCTATAATGTCGAAGAACACCGTGCGTACCTTGGGAGGATACACGAAAAAAAAAGTTTTGTTGCACCAACAAAATAATTTTGGTCATTCTATTGGTTTTTCCTAACGAATGGAATCCAAAGAATTTAGAAGTCGAAAAATTCAATGGAAATAGTATATTACACAGCGAGGAGGGAAGTGATTCATTCCAGTCGCGAGATTAGTTAGTTAACCGAGACGCAAACACGGAAAAAAAGTTTTGTTAATTTTTTATTGGTGAATTAAACATAATTTTGCGGAATCCACAAAATATATATTCATTCCAAATACGCAACCTATTCAAAGAAACTAAATAATTTGATTGAAATATTTGCTTACTTGAACAAAAGTCTCATTTCATTCAACAACATTAATAGTTGACATAAAACAAATTTTGTTGTTCCAACTATTATCTCATTGTTCATTCAATCATATGCATTTTGTCTATTCGACAAAATTGAATTAATGTTGACAAAATTAAATTAATTTTGACAAATATATAACTAAATACAACATCATATTTTGTTGAGTCAACAATCATTTCATTGTGCAACCCAAAGGTTTTCTTCTATTCCACAAAATTTAATTGATTATGTCAACATTATATTTTGTTGATTCAACACATCACTATCAAGAAATATGTTGTTATTTCAAACAAATTAGTTTGTTGAACAGAACCCACAAGAACATTATATCAAACAAATATTTTGTTGGATGATTATCTAGTTGCATTCTTGCCACCAGGTGGCGTTTCTTCCAACCTTCCTACGCTCACCTCGATTAGGGTGTACAATTGTACATATACCTACCCAAAACATCCGTTCATATAATTATTTTAGGCTGTCCTAGAATTTCTTATTACGCTTATACAACCTAATAGTCTTGAATCAACTGAGGAAATTGATCTCTTATCTCTCTCAGTTTTGAAATTCAGTTATTGGATTTCTTTTTTATTATTCAGCAAAATATTTCGTCAATTCTAAATACAATTTTGTTGATTGAAGTATATATTTTGTTATTTAAACATATTCACTCTCTGAAAAACTGAAAATTTTGTCACTTGAATGAAATGATATAATCATTTCAATCAACAGAATCGTTCATAATAGAAGAATATTGTAATATAGGAAAAAAATAATCTTTGTTTATTCAACCAATTCCTGCTGTTGATTTGAATCATTAATGAGTTGATCAAATGAATTTTGAATTGAAAACTGACAAAAAACATTTGTTGCGGTGACAACATATTTTGTCGTGGATATATGACACTCAGATTTTGTTGAATTCACAAAAATTTTGTAGCATCAAACAATTTTTTTTTCTTGTGTAGTTAGAGGAGATAGGTATTGGAATTTTTCTTGAACCTTTGGATATCGTAAGTTCTTGAGAATACTTCCATTGGCAGAGGATTCCAAAGCCTGGCCGTTCTATGGAAAAACGAATTTTGGAAAAGTGAAAACTTCAGAAAAGATAAGATTTCCACAAGATTCTCAAACACACGACATGTTTCGCTAACGCAGTAAGCTTCGTCAGGTGATATACTGGTACGATAAACTAAACTAACCTTGGCTTGCTTATATATCCAACTTTCTCAACCTGAAGGATTAGTAACTTGTGGACAGGTTCAATAAACCTCCATTTTTGGAGATTAGGCACAATATCTACATTAGAATACGGTGTACCGGATGCGTATTTTGAAAAGCGTACTCCAGAGCTTGGATGTCCTGGAATACCGTATTCAGTTGGTCATCGCTAAGGGACGTATCAGAGACGCTTTTCCATTATCTTTAAACGCCGTATATACAAATAAACTCGTCTCCATTTCGTCTATTCGGAGGGAGATATTTTTATTTTTCAATCACGAAAAAATAAAACACAATTCATATGATATGTATTATGTGATAATGACTCACAAAGGAAAAGTAATTTCATCAACTCATTATTCATTGATCCAATCATGCAATCAATGTTTTTTGCTGGTGGTACATTCACCTCAATATTCAATGATATATTATGTTGTCGTTTTTTGGATTTCCTTTCTATATTACTCGGTCGACCAGATTGTATTCTTCCACCAGTAATGTTCCTATTCTTTCTTCGAGATATATGGCAGTAGGTTGTACTTTGATCTCAAGAGATCGTCGTTGTTTTATTTCATCACAAATGAATGTCATTATTTGTGTAGGAGTTTCCAAAGGACCCCGCACTTTTTCTATATAAAAATGGCGTTCCGTCGAATTTCCCAAATTTTTGGTAAATGATAGTACTCGACATACTGATTGAATATGCCAAGTCCCAACTCAATCCTATGACTAGTTTACGAGATACAGGGTGTTGAAGTTGAAGAATACCTAATTTTCCTCGGCCTATATCTCTAAGATAGGACAAATGAATTCCAATTTTTCGGGAGCACGTAATAGTTATGCCCTTAGGCGCAAGAACTATATAGGTATTCGACCAAAACTGATTTTTATTACAGGGTGATTCTCATTTCAAATAATGTGTTTTTTTGAATATCTGAATATCAATGCTACAAATTGATAACAATTACAAAATGAGATTTATAGCCAAGTATGCTCTTCTTACATCAATTGAATTCGTAAAATATAATAATTATACATGGTGTTTCATTAATGCTGTTGATTGCATAATTGGTCTATCCTAAAGTTCATTGGGCCACCTCGTATTATCGGGTTGATTCCAGACATTCAAAATATTTTTGAAGGATGTATCCCAATGAGTTCCATGATATACAGAGTGATTCATCGATTGAAAAAATTGACAACCACGAAAAAATATTCAAAAACCACTATTTTTTTCATCACCCTCTAATTCGAAATTATTATCGTCGATGTAAGATTTTTTTCCACCAATATACTCAGTATGGATATTTCAATCAAATTGGGAATTTTCAGACCCATGCTATGACTAGTTTTTTTTATACATCGAATAATGTGAAAATAATTATGGAAAAGTAATTACATAATAACACGAAAAATTGCTCCGAATCGCAAAACTAGTAGTCACTAGTCAACTATGTCAAAAAATGTGATTTGTTCGTAAACAAAATCTAGTGGTCTTATTATAGGTCCGCTAGCAAAACATCTCGAAAATGTTTTTCAGAAAACATCAAACAAATCACAATATGCCCCCGAAAAAATCTCATCAACGACACAACTATTCTACGCACCCCTTTCATCAACTTTCAACTCATCAACGATCCCACTCATAAACGTGCTAAAACTCATGAGCGTTCGAAGTCGACAGCGGTTTTTCCCAACTCAATCCTATGACTACTTTTCGAAAAAAGTATGAAACTAAACTTCCGCAAACGCCTAGTAAGAGGTGCGCGTTAATATATTTTGCAACTCTCCTATATCCAACCAACTTCCAATCTTTTGACCATACTGTATATTGTTAGAATCGAAGTTAGTATATGCACATCGCAAAGACACTAAAGTTGGAGTTTTGGTTATGTAGATATTCGTTACCGGGTTCAGTATAGGCCTGAAAGAAAAATGTCAATTAAGAATTTCAATCACAGATTTTGAAAAAATAGACAAACCAACTCGTTTCCCCACCACCTGAGAGGTAGAGTTTCAGGCGCGTTTTTTTTATTGTGGTATCCCCTGTAGGCCTAGTCCACGTTAGAAAGTGAAAGTTCCAATACCTATAATATGATTGTGTGTAGGCAGGATTGGCGCAGTGGACGAGCACCCGAGTCAGGACTGCGGGGTCGTGGGTTCGATTCCCAGACAGCGCAAGGAATTTTTCGAATATTAATATACGAATTAAATATTGTGGAGTTTCGGAGCATCGGCTGGGGATAGTCCTGCACGATTCACTGTTGCGTGCCTACATACAATATAGATACATGTTCAGAACACTATGGGCTAAAGGACCTCATTAGGGATCGATGGTTGGTTGGTATGTACATACCTACCAACGAAGGACATATACTACTACTACTACTATAATTATGTTTCACAAGGAACACAGAAATCAACTAATCGCCAGATTCAAATCAGTTCCGGACCGATGTTCATATTTTCAGGATTCAATCGATTTGCAGCATCGTCGATACAATTCAAAAGGCGATCAGATGGAAAGGTAATATTTCCTTGGTTTCTTGCGTATCCAAGGAACCATACCACACTGGCTACGTGTGCACACGTCCCTAATGTTCTAGCACCGGACCTACAAGTACAGTAGTACCCTAAAATGGGCGGATCTTGTAAATTATTATCATCGATTTCTCTGAATACTAACCACAGCATATGTTTAGTGGCATTTCTGAACCGAGAAAATACTCGAAATCTTAAAAAATTGGGTTCCTCAATGAGTTCGTCAATATCGAGTGTATTTTGTTCCCCTCCATCTCTTTGTATCGTGTCTTGTATGTAGGAGGCAGCTAAGTGAATGTGATATGACCCTGTGAGTGTTTTCAAATATTCTAAGTCAAGTCGAGGAAACGTCGGTACATGTCTATGGTTCAAACGAAACCATCGACCATTTCTTGTACGGAGGTTTTCAGCCTCAACTCGGGCCTAAACAATGTTGACTTCTTCGATATCATGCAACATTTGTGTAGCTAATTCCAATGTGCCCGGCATCCTTATTGGAGGATGGTATTTGTTTATTAGGGCGCCAGCAATCAAATAGAATTCGCGTAATTTTGCAACATGTGTTATTGATATCGCTCCTCGGAAAAATTTGAAAATCGATTTGAAATGCCCATTTCTAGCCTCTACAATCCATCTGGTGCTAGTAATTAAGCGTGCCCTATTAGTTTCGATTGTTGTGAGTTGTCTTTGGTTTGGTGGTAGAAATGGTGGCATATGGTAATGGAGACCAAGATCCTGTAAAAGACCAATAGAGTCCCTATAACCCCTATCGACTATCACTACATCGCCTTCTTGAAACCATGTCCTCATTCTAT